TCCCACCAAAGACATATATAAATATATTTATTTATTTTGTTGGGTGAAGGAGTGAACCCTTGGTCCTGAGCGGGATCTAAAGGAAGGAGGGGCCTGAGCTGGCTGGGCAAGGAGCGGGCTCTGGATCCGAAGGATCGGCTTGAAGTGGTGGGATTTGAAGGAGCGAGCCCGACGGGACATGAAGCGGGACCAACGGTGGGAGCTAAAGCGTTGCCCTGAATCGGGCGTTGGGAGCTGAATTTGAAGGGCTAAACTGAATTTAATTAATTGATTAATTAAATAGAATATGGAGAGCTGAAGCAGGTCTTAGCGAGCCATGAGAGGATTAATTAAATGTAATATGGAGAGCTGGAATATTCACTCTTGGCGTACAGCTGGAATATTCAGGTTAAATGGAATATGGAGAGCTGGAATACGGAAAGCTGAAGCAAGCCTTAAGCGGGTCATGGTGGTTTAATTAAATGGTTAATGGAAAAGCAGGAATTCGAATGATTAAAGAAGAATTTGAGCAGAAAAATTCAAGCAGATTTTAAAAATTAAAACGGTAGAACTTAAAAAGTCAAATTAAAAGGAATATGAAATGAAAATTTTTGTTTTATGTGTATTTAATGCAATGTCTCATATCATGACTATAAATAGAGACATTGGATGAGGAGAAAAATCACAAGTGAGGAAGAGAAGAAAATTATTCGGCATTGCGGAGAATAGTTGCGGTAGAGCGAAGAGATGCAGAGAAAAGTTGCGGTGAAGCGAAGAGTTGCGGAGAAAAGTTGTGGAGAAGAGTTGCGGCGAAGCGAAGAGTTGCGGAGAAGAGTTGTGGCGAAACGGAGCGTTGCGGCGAGGTGAAGAATCGCGGAGAAAAGTTGCGGCGAAGCGGAGCGTTGTAGTGAAGCGAAGAGTTGTGGAGAAGAGTTCCGGTGAAGCGGAGCGTTGCAGAGTTGCGGCGAAGTGCTACGGTGTAGAGTTGTGGCGATGCGTGACGTTGCAGTGAAGTGTTGCGGCGAAGCGTGGCGTTGCGGTGCAGAGTTGCGGTGAAGCGTTGCGACAAAGCGTTGCGGTGCTAAATTACGACGAAGAGTTGCGGTGAAGCGTTGCGGCTGTGCATCGGGGCGGGGCGTCGTGGCGACACGATGTGTTATGACAGTGTACCGCGGCGAGGCGTCGATGTGACGCATTGTGGCGAAGCATCACGACGGGGCGTTGTCACGACTCGTTGCAGCGGAACATTGCAGTTTTTTGTATTTGATGTTGAGGAGTGGTAATGGTTCACCAAAGAAGAATTCAAAATATTTTTTTTTTTGTGAATGTCAGAGTGAAAAGTCATTATTATTTAAAAATTCTGGTATGTAACAAGTTTATCATAAGGATAAATCGTCAACAAATTTTAACTTTCCTGAGGCTGTACATCAGAGTGTTACTCGATGAGTTAACCTGCATAGGAGGAGCCAACGGAAGTCACCCGAGGACTTAATAACCCATCCGAGATTGTTCGATGGAGCATTGCTTGCTTATGAATATGTGTGGAAAGGATCATGTGTAGTCCACCAAAGACTGTTAACATATCCAAGGTTCTTTACCAGAGTAAGAACTCGGTGATGTTAACCCATATGGAAGAGGTTAGATCAAATCCTCTTGGGATTGATTGTGCTCTGACTAAGATATGACCGGAGTTGTGTATTTCGGGTCGAAAGCATGAAGTGACTTGTGAATGAGCCATTACACAAAATATCATTTAAGTATAGGAAAGTAAGTGAGTAATATTCGAGATACATTGATGATATATGAGCTGCAATGTAATAACATATGTGAACTACATGACTGGGGTATTACTGATAGTACTTGCGAGTACTTGCGAAGATTTGCGAAGATTTTCTGCATTCCAAGTCCGGGGCAAGATTTTCCCATCTGAATCCTTAAGCTTGAAATTTCCAGGCTTGATCATGGCAGCCACGGTATATGAGCCTTCCCAAAGAGGTGATAGTTTGTTGCGTTGGGGACCATGACCGGCGGCTTCAATACTACGCAAGACCAGGTCACCGACGGAGATAGGGGAGATATGTCGAGGCTTGACTCTCCGGTTGAAGTGGTGAGCCACTCTTTGGCGGTATGAAGTAGCTCTAAGGTGGGCCACATCGCGTATTTCTGGGAGAAGATTCAACTGTTGTCGGAGCTTTTCTTCATTGCTTTCAAAGTCGAAAGTCTTGACTCGGGGGTTTGGAATTCCGATATAAACGGGGATGACAGCCTCGGTGCCAAAACACAAGTTTGGATTTTTCCCAGTTGGAGTTCGCATGATGGTGAGATAGGCCCAGAGAACGTTATGCAACTCTTTTACCCATTGCCCCCTAGCCTTCTCAAGTTGAGTTTTCAATCATTTCAGTCCGTACGATTCGTCACCTCTATTTGTCTATTTGTTTGGGGATGCGCCATAGCAGTGTGCACTAACTGAATATGAAGATTCTTGCAGAATGATGTGAAGGCCCTTCCAGTGAATTGAGTCTTATTATCTGTGATAATTTTTGCAGGAAGCCCAAAGCGACAGATGATGTATTTCCAGACAAATTGTTTGGCATTTACCTCGGCAATTTTGGTAAGAGGCTCTGCTTCTACCCATTTGGTGAAGTAGTCGACATCTACGATAATGAATTTTCATTGTTCATTAGCTATCAGAAATGACCCCATGATATTTACCCCCCTTTGGGCGAAAGGTCAATGACTTAGAAAAGATGTGAGTTCCACCGGCAGTGTAAGTGTAAGATTGGAGTGTAGTTAGTAATTCTTGAATTTTTGCGCAAACTCTAATGCATCTTGCTTGATCATGGACCAGTAGAAGCCTTATCTCATTATTTTAATAGCAAGTGCCCTGCCACCAAGATGCTCCCCACATATTCCGGAATGAACTTCTTGTAGAGCGTGATCAACTTCAGATGGCGGAAGACACTTAAGATATGGACCTACAAATGCTTTCTTGTACAACATTCTCTATAAAGATGAAGTTAGCATACATGCGTAGGATGCGAATTGATATAGTAGCATCATCTGACAGTGTTCCGTCTCAAAGGAAGGAGATGATGGGATCCATCCAAGATGGCTCCCTTGAGCCATCTATAGACATTATCTCCCATGGGCCATGGATGCTAGGAAACTGTATATCCTCAATATACCTTTTTTTATAGAGATCTCTAGTTGTTGAAGTTGCAGGCTTGGAGAGGGTATCAGCTCGGGTGTTATGCTCCCAAAGTATATGAATGAGTGGCATGTTTCAATTTTGGTAAGAAGTGTTTTTACCAGATCGAGATACTACACCAGTTGTGAGTTATAAGTGTCAAATTCTCCTTCTACTTGGGATGCAATGAGTTGAGAATCAGTGTAGATAATCATGTTTTATACTTCACAGTTGATGACAAGCTTTAATACGACGACAAGTGCTTCATATTCAGCAACATTATTGGTGGCTGGGAATTTTAAACGAAGTCCATACTCTAAAATGTCTTTCTTTGAGGAGATGAGTATTATTCCTGCACCAGCTCCTAAATTTTCAGATGCTTCATCTACATATAGTATCCACTGAGGTGGCTGCGAAAGAGAAGAAGGTGGTTCATCAGAGGTAGGCACTGTACACTCTACCACAAAGTCGGCCAACACTCGTGATTTGATGTTTGGTCGTGGTAAATAGTGGATGTCAAATTCTCTCAATGCTACTGACCATTTAATTAATCTTCCCGACACTTCTTGTCTTTGTAGGATAGCCTTCAAAGGAAGTTGTGTGTAAATACAAATAGTGTGAGCCTGGAAGTACAGATGAAGTCTCCTTGCTGAGAATACTAGGGCTAGTGTAGTTTTATCCGCCATCGGGTAGCGACTTTCTATATCAGAGAGAATTTTACTAACGTAATATACTGGTTTCTCGATTGTTTTTTCTATTTTGACAGGGACAAAGCTTATTGCATGAGGTGAAATAGCCAAATAGATATATAACATCTCCCCTTGGATATGTTCTGAAAGAATGGGTGGTGAAGCCAGATATGCCTGAAGTTGCTCGAAAGCGATTTAACTGTCATATGTCCATTGAAAACCAGTGTTTTGAGCTCCTCTTAGTATTTTGAAGAATGGAAGATACTTATCTCTAGAATGAGCTAAAAATCGGGATAGGGCGGCTATACGACCATTCAATCGTTGCACCTCCTTGATGTTCCTTGGAGGCACCATCTCTCTCAATGCCTTGATTTTTTCTGGGTTTGTTTCAATTCCACAATGGGTAACCATGAATCCTAGAAACTTCCCTGATGTGACCCCAAAAGCACATTTAGTCGGGTTAAGTCGTAAGTTATACTGACGAAGGAGTTGGAAACACTCCTCTAGATGAGAAATGTGTTGAGATGCTTCTAAGTTTTTTACTAACATGTCATCAACATAAATCTCCATTGTACGCCTGAGAAACTCTTTGAAGACCTTGTTCATGAGTCATTGTAAGTTGCCCCAGCATTTTTTATCCTGAATGACATAACCTGATAACAAGATAAGCCCTTATCTGTTTGAAAAGAGGTGGTCTCGTCGTCCATTGAGCTCATCTTTATTTGATTGTATCCCAAGTATGCATCCATAAAGCTTAGCATCTGATGTCCAGACGTGGCATCAACGAGTTGATCTATGCTCGTGAGGGGGAAACTATCCTTTTGGGCAAGCTTTGTTGAGATCTGTATAGTCGACACATTCTCCATGAACCAGTAGCTTTCTTCACCATGACGACATTGACCAGCCATGCAGGATGGTGTACTTCTCGTATGAATTTTGCTTCGAGAAGCTTGTTGACTTCTTGTTCAATAGCTTGTAAGCGGTCTGAGGCAAAATTGCGCTTCTTTTGGATGACCAGTTTAAAAGTCAGGTCTACCTTTAAAGAGTGCATGATTATTTCTGGGTCAACTCTAAACATGTCGGTCGGAGTCCATGCAAAAATGTCTTGGTTCCTTCGGAGAAGATCTACATACTCCGACCTTTTCTCATTGGAGAGTAGGGAACCAAGCTGCACTGTTTTTCGAGGGATGTTTGTTAGAGAGTGAGATTTGAACCAAGTCTTCCATGGGAGAAGCTCTTTGAGATATATCTTCATCTCGGAGATCAAAGTTTTCAATGTTAAGTGTCATCAATGTGTGTGGCTGAGCTTGCCTGACGTAGCATGATTGTGTTATCTGTTGATCTCCTCGTACGACGCCGATCCATGGTGAGGTTGGAAATTTGAGCTTCAAGTGTGTTACAGAAGTCACAATGCCAAAGATTGATTGCAGCGGTTTCCCAAAATTGGCATTATATGCTGATTCTGATTTGATAACGATGAACTGAATTGAGTTGGTTATTTGTCGAGGAAAATCTCCCAAGACAACATGGAGATTTATTGTTCCCTCGATCCTCACTGGTTGATTATCAAAACTATATAATGATCCAGATTTAGGTTGAAGTCTTTCCCTTGTCAATCCCAAACAGAGGAAAGTTGAATAGAAAAAGACATTGACAGAGCTCCCATTGTCAATCAAGATCCTCTTTACATTATAACAGGGCTCGCCAATTCCTGCACTAATGACAAGAGGATCTTGGTGGGGGGCTTGAACTCCTTCCAAATCTGAATCAACAAAAGTTTTAGACTTGAGGCGCAATTTCCTTTGCATTGGTTCACCAGGTATAATGAAAAAGACTTGATCATTCAGCAATGAGCCTCCTGCAATTGTTTGAATTTCACCCACGACTAGGTGACTCCCATGTTGTTGCCTTTGTGTTTGTTGCCCCCCAGTATGAGCATTATCACTACCATCAAGTTTGTTTTGTATAAATCGACCAAGATATCCCTGTTGGATCAACCTTTCAATTTCATCCTTAAGGAGCTTACATGCCTCAGTAGTATGGTCACGACTTCGATGAAAATGACAGTATTGTTCTTGATTTCTCGAGTTAGGTTTTAGGGGTTGAGACCACTTAACAGCTTGCTCATCTTTGATGGTCATCAAGATGTTAGCACTTGACATGCTGAGTGGTGTATACTCTTTTTTGGGTCAGTATTTAGTTCGTTGGCCTGCAGGTTGAGGAAGGAGGTCACGATTTCTCTGTTGTTCAGACTTTCTCCATTGCGAAGATTGATTATTATCTCCAGTGTTATTCTTGCGCTTTGCCCCAAATTTCTCGAACTGTTCTTTATGTGCGTTGATGGCCTCATCCACAGTGATTTGAGCCTCAACACGGTAGACAAGGTTGACATAAGAATAAATTGTCTCCCGCATCAGTGATGAGTATAAATGTCCTGGGCGGAGCCCCCCAAGAAAGGCCCCCCTTAGTAACTCAGGATTCACTCCTGAAATCTGACGTGCTTCAGCAGAAAACCTGCGGAAGTAGTCCTTGAGCGACTCTCCTTCATTTTGACAAATTCCTGAGAGATGAAATTCCTGAGAGATGGACAAATTCCTGAGAGATGGGATGAATCCTTTATGATTCTTCGATTTGCAATGAACTGCTCTGCGAACAGTTTGGAAAATTCGTTAAAGGTGTTTATAGTGCCCCCTGGTAGAGAGTAGAACCAGGTTTGAGCTTGCCCTTTAAGAGTAGTCGGAAACACTTGACACAGAAGCGCATCAGAGGCACGCTAAATGTGCATGATAGTTCGATAATGATCAATATGTTCGTAAGGGTCGGTTGACCCTTCATATGAATCAGTGTTCGGAAGCTTAAAACCTGTTGGAATGGGGTGTTGGAGGACCGCATCCGCTAAGGGAGAAGATTCATGGATGTTATGGTGAGCGTAGAAGCGATCCTTTTTCTCTAAGGGGAACTCTTCCTGTACGAGGCTTTGTAGTTTGTTACTAATGAAATTATCTGGAATGGCAGGAAGATGTGGCGATGTCGAGTGTGTTGCACGAGATGGATGAGTGGAACTTACGGTATCTAGGAGTTCAGCATCACGACCTGACAGGGGATGTGTTCCTTGCTGAGGAGGCAGGCCGGTACGAGTTCCTCCAAGCGGTATGTTTCTCTTATGTCGCGGAGTTAATGGTAAACGAATTTCATCCAATGGTGTAGGCAGCGGCTGTTGAGCACCGCGTAGCAGCTGTAGGATCTCTAGTTGTGACTCCACCATTATATGCATTTGATCTTCTATTGAAGGACCTGAAACACCTTCGTTGGCGGGATAGCGTCTTCCAGAGCGGGAAGATGAAGAAGCATGCCACCCTTAGCTTCGTGACTGCTCTTTGGAACAATGGGTGTTGGAGTGGGATGCTCCATTGTCACGAACATTTTGTCTCGTGACCATGTAGTAGACCACGTAAGTACTTTAGTTGTGAAATTAAAACATTCTCACAGACGGCGCCAAACTGATGCTTGCTAGAAAATTCGCGGCGGTAGAGTAATGGATTATCGTCTTAGCGTTGATCATCGTCTTAGTGTTACACGAGTTCAGATGAAAATGAATCAAGCTGTAAAAAAAATCAGTAGTGACACCAAAAATTTTGACATGAAAAATCCGTAAAAGGATATGGGGCCTGACCCAGTTGTAAAAATCCACTATAATTTGATGATTACCCTTGCCCCACAGGCGGGAAAAAGATACTATCTTTCCACGTAACAACGTCAACTGATGACATCAAGTAAGCGGTGGTTGACGGAGGTTGACAGTGATCGACGGTAGTTGATGACAATCAATGACGGTCAGCGATGGTTGACGACAGTCAATGACGGACGGTGGTGGTCGACGGAGGCCAGCGGTGACTGGCGGCGATCAATAGTGTCCGACGGTGGTCGACAAAGGTCGGCGGTGGTTGTCGACGGTCAGTGGTAGTCGATGGGGGTACCCCAACAAGGATGATCTTGGGCTTGAGCTCCTTATCAAAGCCTCAAGTTCTCTCTTAAGCCTCATGCCTTTCATGTGAGGGTTGAGGCTCTATTTATAGTGTTTTGAGTGCAATTAATGCAGAAATATGAACCATTTTGATCGGACGGCCTGGAGAGCTTTGGAGAGCTTCCCTTGATCAGATCTTCCCTTGATCAGATTATGTTTGATGGACATTTGAGTGCCTTAATGAAGTCAGAATTGAGCAATCTTAGGCTCGTTGGATTCGTCTTGTCGAGACGCTCGATTTGAATATGAACCCGCTAGATTTGACAACCTTTTGATCTTTCAAATGCCTTCGGAAATCTTTCAATAGTGATTTAATGACTTGATCTAGACTTGATTTGACTCGGATTGGACTGACTTTCATATCATTAGGTCGTCTCGTCGAGCCGATCAGTTTGACTATAAGTTTGCTGAAATCGAGCTTTAAATGACTCTTAATCAAAGTTTGAATGTTTCTTGTTCAAAAAATTGCAACTAGATTCATGCCGGATGATGAAAAATTGTCGGTGGCATATCAGTAACTGATGCGTGATAGAAAATTTGCGGCGGTAGAGTAATAAATTATCGTCGTAGTGTTGCACGAGAATTCAACACACACTCAGATGAAAATGAATCAAGCTGTGATAACACCAGAATTTTTTACGTGGAAAACCCGTAAAGTGGAAAAACCATGGGGCCTAGTCCAATTGCAAAAATCTACTATAAGTTGATGATTACAGATGCTCCTTGTCCCACAGGCGGGAAAGTGTTACTAGCTTTCTACGTAACAACGTCGACTGATGACGTCTAGTAAGCGGTGGTTGACGGAGGTCGGCAGTGATCGACGGTAGTCGACAACAGTCGATAACGGTCAGCGATGGTTGACGGAGGTTAGCGGTGACCGACGACAGTCAATGACGAATGGTGGTGGTCGACGGAGGTCAGCGGTGGCTGGCGACGATCAACAGTGTCCGACGGTGGTGGACTGAGGTCGGCGATGGTTGTCGACGGTCAGTGGTAGTCGACGGCGAGCAACGATGGCGAGGATGATCTTGGACTTGAGCTCCTTCTCAAAGCCTCAAGTTTTCTCTTAAGCCTCCTGCCTTTCATGTGAGGGTTAAGACCCTATTTATAGTATTTTGAGTGCAATTAATGCAGGAATATGAACCATTTTGATCGGACGGCCCAAAGAGCTTCCCTTGATTTGATGACGTTTGAAGGACATTTGAGTGCCTTAACGATGTCGGAATTGAGCAATCTTAGGCTCGTTGGATTTTTCTTGTCGAGATGCTCGATTCGACTATGAACTCGCTAGATTTGACAGCCGTTTGATCTTTCAAATGTCTTCGGAAATCTTCCAATAGTGATTTAATGACTTGATCCAGACTTGATTTGACTCGGATTGGATTGACTTTCATATCATTAGGTCGTCTTGTCGAGCCGATCAGTTTGACTATAAGTTTGCTGAAATCGGAGCTCCGGATGACTCTTAATCAAAGTTTGAATGTTTCTTGTTCAAAAAATTGCACCGAGATTCGTGCTAGACGATGAGAAATTGTCGGTGGCGTATCAAATTTATTGAAATTTTATAAATAATTTTATCGTAAATTTAATTGATATTTTAGTAATAGGCTTAAAGCCTGATAGAAGTTGCCAAATAATTTTATAAGATTCAACATGACTTATTAAAGCTCATGTCATACAGCTTTTGAGATTTAACCACCCACGATTTGCTAAATCTGAGTTTACATGATTTACTAAAATCACTTAAGTTAAAACTCATATGTTGTCATACTGCCCATAAACTTAAAACAAAATCAAAAAATTAAAACAAACTTTATATATTAAAGAATAATTAAGAAACTTTTTTGTATATCCTATGGCAACACTTTTAAATATCGCTATCGTATGTAGTATAAATATCGTGGTTATAGGCTCTTCTGACAGTGTTTTAAAATTGTACTATTTGATAAGTGTAGCGAAAACTTATTTTTTAATATTGTCTGTAACTTTACTATATGAGAAAAAGTATATTTCATTTAAAAAGTTCAAATAATGACAGATGAAATATAAAAGTATGATTAAATACATAAAATGTTGGTCGAATGTATGTAAATGCCCATAAATGAGTCAAGTCTAGCATGTTAAAAGGCCTTGTTTCGCGTGGGACTTATTTCATGGATGAAAAATGGGAGTTTGTTTTGCATTTTGCGTTTTTTGTTCCCAAGGTTCAGTTTTTCTCCCATTTCATAAAATTTGGCAGCGAGCTAGCTATTACTGCAATTACATGAATAGTCCTGACAACCCCAAAAAACTGGCTGGCTTGTACGTTTGTCAAAATGTAATGAGAGTTGGGTTTTAATAACTGATACGGTAGCTTTGAAACTTCAACTTCATGCATCATAAATTTACGTTCTATAGCATATAGTTTTACTATATCCCCATGATATTCATCTTACTTTAAAGCTGACTAAGTATGTAAATAAAATTATAGGTTTTATATTAATCATAACAATAAATATGCTTTGAATGGCTAGCTTTTAAATTTGAATAGTTATAAAATATGCATTTTTTTTTATAGATAAATTATATCTTAAAAGAAATCTGTAAAATAAACAAGACTATGTTGTTGGATATATGTCTATAAAATAAAGTTCTTTATTTTAATTTTAATTTAACGCTAAAGCAAATCCGAAAACTTAAGCATATTATTTCCATTTAAACGAAATGCATGTAAATTTGCATGTACAAAATGGTTCCATTTAATTTTCAGGATATAACTAATAGCATATTTTGTTTAAATTAAATAAAAAGGGAAATTTTTATTTTAATATTTAGTTCTCATCATGCCTACAAATTGCTATATTATAAATAATTTAGATAGCAAAATATATTTTTTACTATTATTTGTTATACTTTGCAAGAAATTTAACCCACTTTCGACAATCATATAAATTAACACGTACAAATTAATGTTTTAAGACATTTATCTTATATTCATATAATGTTTTTTCAGTATTTTCTAAGGAAAAGAAAAGCAAGATTAGTAAATTTTATCATATTAAATATGTTATCATATTTTCCTGATAGATTCTATGTCAAGGTGCTGTTGATTTTATTATATGTGCATGTGTTGTTGCTTAACAAAGAAGCTATATATTA